AGCAACGATATTATATTGTTTTACTTTTTTGGTGACCCTCATTTTCGAGAGTTTACTCTGCCAGTCATTTTACTGAAGTTCATAATCTCTTTTTCACCTATCTTCTCTACTATTAAAAATACGAAAAAAAAAATTCCCTTAATTTCGATAATAAAAATTTTGGAAGAGTGAGCCATGAAAAAAAATTTGGTTTTCGGATAGAATGCTCTCTTCGGAAGGTAAGTATTAGAATTTCAAAAAACCATTTTTTTGCGGAAAACTAACGGAAATATAGGTTTTTTTTCGAACTTTCACATATTGGCCCATTTTCTCAGTTGAACAAATATATGACCATATACAGTGAGGTCCTAAAGTAACGGATGAATTAATTTTCCATGTGATAATAAATGCAAATTCAGTTTCTAATGTTGTTGTATTCTATATGGATGATATTGATGTGTTTTCAAAATTCCCGATACAGAAGTTTTACTTACATTAATATCACCAGCTACTTCTCTTGTAGGTTTCTGTGCGTTTTTTCTGAAAGTTAACAATACATCCAATTTCTTGCCGCCATTCAATTTTTATCTCCCAGGTTTGGAAAGATCTTTAACAGTTCCAAATTCATGTGACGATTGGGATACTTCGCAATGAATATTCTGTATACCTAAGAATGCGTTCTTGTTTCATCACCTACTACAATCAATATTGATATCTCAACTCTTTGGGTCAATTTTCATTAATGTTTAGAAATTCTAAGGAAACGAATAATAACTACAAGCAAACTATTGACGACGTCTAGCGAACTAACAAATTTTAAATACGACCATTTCATGGCATTTAAATGTCACAAAAAGATCCGATATTACTTTTTTGACGAGAAAATAACTAATAGACTTGTCAATCGTGGCAGATATTTGACTCGAGTGCTGTTTGTTTGTATGAAATAAACTTCCATTTTTCTTCAGTATCCAAACATAAACATCAAAACGTGCTTGTATGCTGAAATAGAGAATTGAAAACCCTCTGAAACGCGATATGATACGCTACCCCTTTTCATTTGAAATTTATACAAGGTAGCTATTACCCCTAGGGGGTTGAAAGTACAGTTGGATAATTGTAATGAGAAAGTGTATTTTCGTATATAAAAATTGAAATGTTTCAAAATTTTTCATTCACACTCATAATTATGTAGAGAATGAATTTATCGGTTACTTCAGGACCTCACTGTATATAAACATACACTTAATCACTTATTTTGTTCTCGGACAGTCAAACAGCGTTGGAATCTCTTGACTCCTACCAAAGACTACAGAATACTATAAGACGTGTCACTCGCTCATTTTTCGACATCTGAGAAATCTCGCCGCCCGCTAGCGACAGCGGGTAATTACCAGCCGAGGTAGTACAGTGTGTCGCTTGAAGTTACCAGTTCTCGTCGGCACACGAGATATAAAGGTTGTCCGTATTGTTTGGTATTGTCAAAGACTACAGAATCGGTAAACTTTGGTATTGTGATAGTGTTGTGTTCGTTCGGAGTTCGAAATATTTATTTTGTGAAAATGTCGACGTATTGCTCAGTGGATGGTTGTCTGAGTACGGTGGGAAGCCCAGGTATTTCGTTTTTCCGCTGCCCAAAGTACAGTGAAAGGTATGCATTCAATATATTCACCATTAATTTTTATTTTACCTATCTATACCTTTTATGGTTTTGTTGTATAAAATTATTCATAACGAAATATACCGCCGGCATTTGCCAATCCAAACTCATTTCAATCTTTTTTCAAAATGTTCAGTTTATCGATTGATATACTTGAATTTTTTTTTAGGTGTCAACGTTGGAAAAATGTATTAGGCTTCATTGGGAATCATAGATATGCTACTCTTACCCCAGAGCAGAGTCACAATAGAATTAAAATTTGCAGCTTACATTTTAGAGCCGATGATATTGTGAATTCTCGTATTCATAGCTATG